TCTTTCTCACTGGATACAAATGGGAGGCCAGCAGCACGCTAGTAGTCATTTTGGACCATTCTGAAAATGAATGAGAGGTGCCAAGGTTGATGAAGCAGAAAGAAGAGGAACCTGGCTCCCTGAGAACTGCGGGGGCCCTGATTTGCCCGCCTTGCACTTCCTACCTCTTACAGGAGGGAGAACAGGAAACCTGCGTCTTTTTAATGCCACAGTTATTGGAGTTCTCTGTTCAGGGGATGCTGCCAAGCCTAATACTAACTAACAAACTGATCATGGAATCATCCAAGTCGTTGGAGCACTATCTGTACTCTTAACATTAGGTTAAGTGCTTACATTAAGACAGCAGATATTTAAGAGGTTTCCCTTGCCCTCTTATTTAAAACATAGGGAAAAACAGTGACATTGAGCATAACGAAGCTCTGTCAGAAATACCCATGAACTCACGTAACACTCTGTGCTTCTGTTATGATGCCTCTTTCCGTATGATTTTCCTTCTTGATAAGACTGGATAGTCCTTGAAAGAGAAGCTGCATCTCATTCATAAACTGGGTAATCAATAACAGCATTACAACTATGACATGATGATGATGATGGCATGTGAGTTTCCTGGCATTCTGCTTTCCTCTCACAACTACAGATGAGTCCAGCCAGGTCTACCTTGTGTCTGGCCCACTCCTCGCAATCAAGAAGCTCCTGCTTAACCGTGTATGTGCTTGGACTTGTTAAATTAAACAAGGAGGCCATTAGACTGAGGGGTCTCTAATGCCCTGGCTGCCTTCATAAGCAAACCAAAACCTAAGCCTGTAAACACCTCAAGGTTGGGACGTTGAAACCTAAGGATGACCAATCGCCCAACAACCATCTGGGCTTTAAGCTACAACCAAGCAGTGATTTCCTTACTTTTCTTCTGCCAAAGTACCAGCAGCAGTGAATGAGAATTTCAGTTATTCCACATTCTCAGACAAGCTTGTCACTGTCAGTTTGTTTGTTTTAGCCATTCTAATGACATACAATGGTATCTCAATGTGGTTTTAATTTATATTTTATCTTTTCATGTCTAAATGGCCATTTGTAGATCATCCTTTGTAAAATAACTGTTCAAATATTTGCTCATTTCTACTTGGTGTGCTAAACTTCTTATTATTGAATTATAAGAGTTATTTCTATATTCTGATACAGGTGTTTCATTCAGGATGGTACCTATTATTGTGCCTTCGAGTTCACCAGTCTTTTTTCCTTCAATGTCTAACATGCTAAGGCCAACCTGTGAATTTTTCAATTCATATATTTATTTTTTCAGCTCTAGAAGTTCCACATGATTCTCTTTTTTATGTATCTTTCAGTCCTCTCCTCATTAGGTTTATGTTTTACTTTAAGTTATGGAATATTTCAGAGACTTTAATTAATTAATTTATTTATTTAAACAAATATTTATTTATTTATTTATTTATTTATTTAAACAAATATTTAATTTATAATTGTATAATTTATAATATTTAATTTAAATAATTTAATTTAAATATTTAAATAAATTTAATATTTTAAAGGCTCTTGTAAAGTCTTTGTCTGCTAGTTCCATCATCTGTGTCATTTCTGGGTCTATTTATCATGCCTGAATTTTCTCTTGGTTATTGGTTACACGTTTTGCTTCTTTTAATCTCTAGTAATTTTAAATCGGATGCTGCATTATGAATGCTGTGTTGTTGAGTATTTAAATCATGCTGTCTTCCTTTAAAGAATGCTGCTTTTTGATTTGTCAGGCAGTTAAATCGAAAGGATCAACTTGATCCTTTTAATGTTTGTTTCTAGGCTTTGTTAGGGCAGGTCTGATACGTCTGAAGTCTGAAGTCTGACATTCTAGGCATCTCTCCTGAATGCCTGTGTCCACTGAGTCCTCCATTCTGGCTGGTTAAAACCAGAATGCTCCCAGCCCAGTATGACCTCCTGGAATTGTTTGGTTTACATCTCCTTGGTCATTCTTTGTCCCCCTGGAGTTTCACCCTGTACATATACAGCTTAATTTTCATTCAAAAACTCAAGAGACACTCCCTCATGTGGAGTTCTAGAACTCTTTGTCTGATAAGCTACCTCTGTTTTGGTACTCTGTCCCACAACTTCTAGCTGCCTCCATTTCCACGAACTCTGATCTCTGGCACCTCAATCAGTGAAACCATCAATGCTCAACTTGAGTTCCTGCTCTCTGTGCTGGGGTCCATGGGACACATACAGGCAGAAAACTAGGTCACTCATAGGCCTCGCCTTGTTGGTTCTCTTCTCCCATGGGACACAGTCCTGTCCGCCTCTGTCTGATGTTTGAAATCAGTTGCTTGCAGTTTTTTGCAGGTTCCTACTTGTTTACTGTGGAAGGGAAAATCCATTACTAGTTACTCTGTCATGACCAGACACATACTTATCCTAGATGAATATTTCTATGTGTGGATGTGTAATGGGAGGGTCATTGAGAGACACTGGAGCAACTGTGGTGTATGAGGGCAGTGGGTGCAAGGAAACAGGATCTGAAGATGAGTATGTAAGGATATGCTCCCTTCAAAGAAAGGAATTTTACAGACTGTGTACACGTGCCTTGACATCCCTCTGGAGCCTACCATGTAGATGGTGACTTTATAATCATTATATAATAATGGCAGTATACATTCAAGTATACAAATAATGAGATACTGACTATAAATACTTTAGGAGACCAGAAATGAGAGAGATGAATGCACTAGAAAAAATGATGTTTATTTAGAGAAGGTTAGGCTTGAACTGAACCCTGAAAAAGTGAAAGGACTGAGATAAGCTCAAAAAAGAGAAGACAGGCTTATGAAGGAAATTTCCTAGTCTTCCAGCTGCCTCCAATAGGGAAAACTGTCAAGGCTGACATCAAAAAGCCACTTGAATCTGCTCAAGTCAAGTAGTTAAGCTCTGTATGGGTTCCTGGTGTCCATTTCCTCCCTAATTAGCCTTACATATCCACCCAGTTTATGAGATATCTGTTAAAGTCCTTTGAAAACAATAATGTAAATAGTTACCCATATCATTATTAATCCATGTATGTGGGGTGATCGGCCAGCATTTCTCCCTGAATACTTGACAGCTGCTATCAGAAAAAGGCAGTGAATGTCACATGTGTCAAACATAACCTTTACCCAATTAAACTTGCTGACTAACCCAAGGGTGACATCCAATGATATCACCTAGATATCCTTAGATCTGCTATTTTAATGACATCAATAGGCTTAGCAATGAAAAGGTAAATATGTTCTAGGCAATAAATCTGCAAATAGACATTCAGGATAGTGCTAAAAGAATGTTCTCCATTCTTTCCAATGTAATCACAGCAAGTAATATTTTACGACTACTTACAAATGCACACAAATATTTATGGTCTATTGGAAGTAGCGTCTTCTTGTAGTATGACTTGCAAAGACCTTACACATCTTGTGAATTAGTATATAATTGAGAGAACATTTCAGCACTGTGAATATTCTGTATTTCACATATCAAATGGTTATGTGACTTGGTGAAAAAATCATCACCTGTTCTGGTCACATCTGAGTCGCAAATTGAATGTACTAGCTTGAGAACATCATTTAATACTTCTCTATGCCTGAGTTTCTCCATTTCTTAATTGAATTATTATCTAAACTTAGTTGAATGAAGTACAGAAAGTTGTTCTGACGAAGCAAATATTCTATGTACGCTTAAAGAAAAATAATTTTTATAATATAATATGGAATTATTGCTGCACAAATTTCCCCCATGACACTACTATGAAAAATTAAAGCTGAAGACAGAAGCAAATATGACATTTAATTCTTTTTAAAATAAACAGGAGTCATCAGTCATCCTCATTTTTATCCTTTTCTCTAGCAAAATAAAAATCTTATGGCTTATAAAATAGCAATAAAATTATGCAAAGAAGCTGCACTTAGCAAGATAATTGAGTCTAATATTAAAGATCAGGATTATTAAAACACATAGCTAAAGAAAGATATTTTGTAAAAATAGAAACGTCTACTCCTTAGACCAAAAGAATTTGGACAAATGTTGTTCACATTTTTAGTTCACCAAACAATTACTTTGGCTTTAATTCTTCAGAGCAGTTAAGCCAATCCTTCTAACTAGACTATTTGCCTAATAGTTATAAGGTAAAGCAATAATTAATTGCATACAAACAAAGCTAACATATAATACTTTTAGTTAATAAATGGAAAGAGGTTATCCATTTTGAGCAATATCGCCATTGTTTCTCTAGACTCCAAGCACTGCGTTGGCATATGATAGGTACTCAATAAACAGAGGCTGAATAAATAAATGCATGGTAGTGGGAATTTCTTATAAGATTAGTTATAGAATAGTAAACAAATCCAAGCAATTTATTACACACATGGTAAAACATGCAACTTATTTAAAAGTTATTTTCAGGTACTCTACCATACTGATTGTTTTAGCCCTATACAGTAAACTCTTTTGTCCCCGGATACTAAAAACTAAAAGAAGAAAATAAGGTTTATACTCTAGGGCTCAATTTAAACCTGAAAACTAATCCACAAAATCAGGAAACAGTTTTTATACTGACACCAACTGTTCCAAGATTATTTTTCTGTCGTCCTACAGGTGGTTACTTTACACAACATCCTGTACTTTACACACTAGCAGTGCGGAGCAAAGCAAATATGTGAATTAACCTGGTTCTCCTTTCCCATTCGACTTTCATTATTTCCATGCCTGAGCACTGTTATTCTAAGGGATAGCCAATCTGCTTGAGTGTATAGTTTCACACGTGCTCTTAAAACAAAATGTCTTAAAACAATATCTTAATACCTAAAACGATACGTCTGAATAATCTCAAGCCTATGTTGGCAAGGTGTTTTCTCAGATCATATTGAAAAGGTGTTCTGTGATGCCAAGTGGAGCCATGAGGAAGCATTGGGCTCATCTAATTATGGGCTGGCATCTATCTGAGGAGAGATTGGGGAAGTTATTCAGCCACTTACCTGTGTGTCCTGTTGTCTTCGTTACCACAAACCAGCCACTTCTTTTTGTGTTTTAGTCTCCATGGCAGCAAGATAGAGTCAATAATAATGAGTTCAGTGTAAGAATTATTCACAATACAGAAAAACTAGTCTACCAAGCACTTTGAGCTCCTGGGAAACTGTGTAAACACAGCTTATCATTTGTATTCTGAGACCTTGTCCTTTTAGAATCATGTGGTTCCCAGCGCCATGTTGCTGTGCATTCTTTCCACATGGGCCAAACTTTTTTTCATTTCTTTTGGTTTTTTTTTTTTTTTTTTTGGTTTAAGAGAAAATTTTCCTATGCTCATAATCATGCATTTTTCTTTCTCTTTAAAAAAGTGAGGCTCTTGGTTGTCATTTCAATACCAAGTGTTAATTTGGAAGTCAGGAGACAAATTTCAGGCACTGAGGTTTTTAAATAGCATTTAATCACTGCCCTTGGTTCAGTTTCCATTACCATCAAAATGAGGATAGCAGGCTATCCAATCTTGGGGCACATTTCTACAAATGTGGCCTATGGGCAAGAATATTTGCATCAGAAACACTTAGGGGGCTCAGTCAGAACAGAGTAGATACCATCCTAGGCCTTACTAAACAGAAATATTTAGTTTGAGACATTTTTAATAAGCTCCTCAGCCATAATTATCCATGATAAGGTTTGAGAGTCACTGCTCCAAGATCAGCAATTGGTGACCTCCTGGTTTCAGGGGCTTCTAAGAAGAGATTCAGTAGCTCTGAGGAAGACATCCTTAGTGGGGCCAACTCTGCCTTCCACAACACCTTTTCTCAGAACGTGTTGAGCAGAGCCGTGGCGAGCTATTCTTTGCCGTGCCGTGCAGCAGTATAGAGAGGCATCCACAGTGGTAAGCAGAGTCACGTCTATCCAACCCTGATCTTAAGAGAGCAAGGCCTGGGTGTTCTCCTAGTCTGTCCCCGTAACGGCTTTCCCCAAGCGCTGACGGCCAGAAACAGGATGAGGATGCATGGTCTCAGATGAACCCAAATCCACAAACTAGAAGTTAATCATCAGTGTAGAGTGATTTGCTCTTTTACTTCTTGGGAGTTTATAGAAGCATTTCTTATGCCAATTTGATGCAAAGGCTTTTATTAAATCTCTGCTCTAAAGACCATCTGATATTTAGGTAAAGAAGCTTTAGGTAAAGAACTTCCAAAAATGTCTTTTCCTTCTGTCCTGAAAGAAGAATTCATCTTTAAGACACTCTTCAGTCTATCCAAGATGTATGATAAGAGGATGGAATGTTAGAACATTAGTTTCAACTCTACAAACAAGAAAAAGATTGCATAGTTTGGTTGAAATCCTCATTCAATAGGGCCAGACAGAGCAGCTTTCACTACATTTGACACAGCATCATTTATTCCATTACTAACCTGTCAGTCAAGCCTGTAGACAGTGGGCTTCATACCTGGCAAAGAGTTTCTTTGACATTGTTCAAGAATAATATTAGGAATTTGAACTATACTATGTCATATATCATATGATATGTATCACCTATGCCATCTAATTTTATAAAAAGTTTCATCTCAATTTTTTACAGTATTCTTTAAAGACAAAAGAATTCTTGTCATTTTCCTAGAAGGAAAAATGTTTTCCATCTCATGAAGAACAATAAGGAAAAAAGGCTCCATGGCACATTCATTCATAGAGAAAGTTAATGGAAGGTAACCACAGAGGAGTAGTATGAAGGGATTCCTGGTAACGATGGAACGGTCCTGGATCTTGGTTGTGCTGGTGGTTACATGACTCTATACATAGGATAAAATTTCTTAGAACTACACACATACAAAATGAGTACTTGCAAAAACTAGTAAAATCTCAATAAGATTTGTTGTCTAGTTAATTGTATTATGCCAATGTCAGTTTCCTGGTTTTGATAATGAACTAGAGTTATGTGAGACGGTACCATGGGGCAGGGTAGCTGAATGAAGAGTACATGGGACCTCTCTGTATTATTTTTTGCAACTTCTTGTGAATCTTTAGTTTAAAATAAAAACTTAATGGAAAGGTTGGGAGTTCATCCCATTGTCTGTTCCTCTTCAAATACGCTGATAGACGATGCTTTACCCATACACACATTATCTGTGAAAAATATAATTCATTTAATTTGAAAAATTCAATAGGAATCAGGGTCAGCTTCATTAATCACTCACCACCTTTTAAAACTCAAGCTACATTCTACAGAACATAAGTAACCCCAAAGTGAAATTCAAGCAGGTGTTTTAGCTGACTCATAAACATAGATTTCTCAGACTTTGAAAAACTGTCAAGAGATTTATTGCCCAGACCTGGGCTGTTTGGTCACTTGAGGAAGTTGCCTCTCTTTTAACCCTTCTCTGTACACACTTGCTTTTTCTTCTCTACATCTTGGTATCTCCTCTCACCTCTTTACTTGTTAAAAACAATCAAATTCTCCTTGGAAGTTCCTGGTTTTTCCCCAGAAACTGGACTTTGAACAGCCTTCATTGAGTATGATGGATGGGCTCAAGGATTTGAGATGTGATTTCTTGTAAATTTCTCCTTCTATGCTTGGGAGAGCTTGAGGACCACCTGCCTGCTCTGTTCACTCTCTTCTGAAATGAGAGCACAGGAAGTGATTTGAATTTTAATTGCTTAATCACCATTTGATGTCGCTTCAGGAACCCCAGCTTTCCATTCAGCTGACTATTGCCAATGAACCCCAAACAAAACCAGGACTGGTAACCCGGAAGTGTGTTTTGTCAAGGGTGGGGGCAGACAAGGGATGCAAATACATGTTAAAAAGAATTAGAGGTGAGTGGGAAAGGAGGGAAACCTGTATGTTAAGAAAAGAAAATCTATCATCTCTCTTGGTTTCAGTTTCTTCATCTATAAAATGGGAGTTTTGACTGGGAAGCCCAATACAATAATATTCTGTTATTTGGACCACTTTAATAAATTAAGCAAATAATCCAAAAGGCAGAGAAAATCACTTCTCCAATTGCAGCTGATTTTGTAGATCAAACAATAACATTCTCCTGTGTTTATCCTGGAGAATTCAAACAAGGGAACACAGAGACATTTCAGAAATCACTTTCTCCCTGATTCCGTTCATAGTTAAACTGTAGTCATCAGACCACGTATGAGTCTACTCCTGTCCACAATCCTCCATCTGTTTCCTAGAGCTTTTTCTCAGTGAGAGTTGGAAGAGAGAAATGGTCTGCTGTTCTTGGTTCTTCCTTGTGCACGACCCACACTGAGGATTGAAAAATACGTAAAAACCATCTTGCAGGCTCCAGAGCTGCCTTGTCTGTTGCACAGGGGAAAGAATGGCTTCCTATCTCCGTCTGCCTTGGCCCTGCAAGATTTATTGCCTGTGGAGGCCTCTAGATCACCCCAGTTCATATAAACAGGAAATACAATTCCAAGTAAAGAAGAAAAGGAAAAAGAAAGCTTGAGCAAACTAGGAACTATAGGTACAAGGCACAATGAAAAATTAGCATATTGCTCAATTTCCTTTCCCTTATATTATGTAATTCTGGACTTTTAAAGAGCTTGAGATTGTATATAGTTGATGCAAATCAGGTGCCCTGGGGTCCTAGATGGGAAGTTCATAAGTCCAAAGTTAAATGTGGTGGGGGTTCCCCATTGTGGACCCTAGAAATATGATTTCAGTCGGCCTGGGTCACATCCTCCCATGAGAGGTCGGCCCTGTAAATAGTGAAGTGCTGGGGAAATGCAGGTATCATCTGACACAAGCCAAAATGCATTTAGGAAGTGAGAAATTGAACAGAATTTAATGATAGAATAAATTGTGATACTGCTAGAGGTTGTACAGTAATAGCGTGGAAAGTTATGCCTAAGCTTTCATAGAGAATAATTTCCAAAATAATGAAAACTTGTGGTTCAGAGAGACATTATATCTCTCTGTACATAGGGTTACAGTTTATCTTTCTACATATGGTGCATAATTAAAAAATTGAATTTACACACTTTTAGTATCCCCAAACTTCAATTTCTTTACCTGCTACTGCAAATAGCTACATCAAGAGGGCATAGTTCACAGTGGCATTCTAATAGCGCATTGGTGGCAAAAGCTACACGGATGTGGCCCTTTCACCTTCTGGGGCTTCCTGTGTATGTTTATGCACAGTAGCAGTTACAAGCTATTGCCTTCAGATTGTGCTTTAACAGGATAAGATTTAAACTGCTCTCCTGAATCTATTTACAAAGTAGAAAATGCTATTTGTGAAAACTCTAATAGGTGAGAGCAGGGTAGGGGTGGCATAGAGATAACAATAAATAAGAGAGAAACAATTCCTATTTAGGGTGCCCACAGTTTGTAGTGAGCAGAGAAATAGCAGGATCTGAACATGTATGCTTGTCTGCTATGGGAGCCTGATATGTTCCAGAAAACTCAGGAAAGGCTTTCTGGAAACATCCAAGTTTAATGAGCAGTTGAACAGTGGCATCAATCGCAAATAATGAATATGAGAAGGATTTGCAGGGTGATGAGTTTGGTTTTAGAAATGTTTGATTGTGAGGTGTCTATGAATCATCCAAAAGTGAATAATTTGTAGCAACCAAGGATTCCAAGAGAGAAGTCCCAATTGGAGATGCAGCATTGGCATCATGACAATGTCCGTGATCAAAGCTGTGAGTGTGGCTGAGGTCGCCAAAGGAGAAGGCATAGTGTAAGGAAGGAGAGCAAAGGGAATTTAATTCTGGGAAACACATCCATGAGAAGTGTGGATAAATGGGGGAGATTCCATGGAGGCATCTGAGAAGAAGCTGCAAGACACAGGAGCAAAGTGTCGCACAACCAAGGCAGGAGAGCATCAAGAAGGAGGGACTCAAGAGAGGAGATTGAGGCAGCAACGTGGAAGATTTACCACTAGATTTGACAACTTTGGTAAATTGGCAAGATAGTTTCAAAAGAGACCAGAAAGAGGGAGTTAGGGTAAAACTATGAAAGCCCTGGACAAACTTATATACTCAGAGTGAAGATCATTAGAAATGAAATAACTGAAGACTTAGAAGAGAGGAGAGACCGTTTACAAAGTAGAATTCACAGAATGAGAATTTGCTGGGAGGAGGTAGGGAGTATAGTCAGCAAAGGGCTTCAGAACACAGGTGAAGAGGTGAGCCCCAGGCAATGAATGAATACTTCTCTCACTGAGCGAGTAATCAAGGAGAGGAG